ATATATAAATGTGTGTGTGTGTGTTTTACAATCTTGCAATATTCTAAACAATGTTTCTAAACTAAACGCTCTAAAAGATCACAGAATGTCATGACTTCAGTTCGCTGCCTCCGGCTGCACTCTGCCATCTGCCAGTGCTCTTGGCCACGCCCACTTCTCCGCTCTGCAGCTGATCTCTTCTGCAGAGCGGAGATCAGCTGATCAGCTGCAGGAGGAAGCTTCTCCCACAGCTGTGGGCTGCACACAGGTGCTAAATGATTTAAAATAATTTATTTTAAATAAAAATTACATGCCGATCATGCAGCTCATCCTTATTTTGAAAAACCACGATAGAACGAGTCCGCGAAAAACGAACCTTTAAGTAGCGAGGGACTACTGTATTTTTATACTTCATATATAAAAAGTTGGGTCACGAGTCTGTGAACTTTTTTGTGGGGGTGGAAACTTTTGGAACCATTAACTGCAGATTTGTTGGAGTGTAAAGATTTTCTCATTGTTTTTTATAAAATGTTCTTTAGTACTTTTATTAACAACCATGTTGCTGAATATTATGAAGCGTACAAATCCGTTTCCCGTCGGTTTGAAGTAACGAGTGAAGCGCTGCAGGTTTATTCTGTTTTCATGGGAACTGTTTGATTCACCAGGCGCTCCACCATCAGAGCAGATCAAAGCAGACGTCCTGTAAGTGATTCCATCCGTTCGCTTTGCTCCGTGTTCCTTTCTGTTTTGGGCTGAGTTCATTTTTTCTTTTCAGGGTTTTGTCTCAGATTTATTCGGCTGTGGTTGGCGGAGTCCTCTCAGGCATCAAATGTTTCTCCTCCACCTCCAGCCTGACAAAGGCAAGAGCAGGAATTTTACACAGAGTTAGCATAAACGTGCTTTAATTTGATGTTTCCTGTTTCAGGCTAAAGATGTAGCGGAGAACACCTTCCTGACGGCGCTGGACTCGGCCAGTTTAGGTCACTACCGCAGTTTTCTCAGGTACCGATGGAGTTCTGACTTTTTTATTTTATGCAACACCAGAACTAAGATAAGTGTTTTTATTGGATTCTGTCTGTGTCCGCAGGTCCAGATGTGCTTTCAGCATTCAAGCTGTGAACCAACAGGGCACGTTGGTGTCATGTTCCTTCCTTTCTTTATTTATGTAGTTATTTCAGAAGACGTGCTTTCACACAAACTGTCTGATTTCATTCCAGGATCATTCCTCTGACTGACGAAGGCAGCCGCTACGTCGTAAAAACAGTAAGATGGATTATAAATTCAGATTAAATCTGCTCTTGTTCGCAGAGTTTCACTTTGTCAGCAATAAGACTTTGATTCAAACAGGCGTCCATGATCGTCCACGATGTCCCCGATCTGCAGAGGAACACGGGGAGCCTCGGCTCCGTGGTCTTCTCCGAGTCCTTCCTGGAGTCCAGCATCAACATTCAGCACAGAGGTTCAGTATGGATCAGATTAGACCCGATCTTATTAGAATGGATCGAGTCTGAGATGAAAATTAGATTTAGATAACGAGCAGTTTGAATCCAGAGGTCACGGTCAGTCGAAGTCCAGCTGTGTGTGAAATGTCCTTCATCTGTGTCCCCATGGTGGTTCTGTAGATGGCACCGCGTCCTCAGACAGCTGCTTCACCGTCCTGACAGGAACCGTCCCCCGGTACGCCTGTTGGCTGGTATGTTGGGCCGGAGCCACGACTCGTGTGATCCCAGGAACCGTTGGGGGGGCTGGGTCTCACTGCTGCTTGTGTTTTGGTTTCAGATGGAGTCGGATGTGAGGCGGTCTGAGCAGGCCCAGCAGCTCGCTAAAGTGAGTTCAGGAGCCCGGACCACATCAGGACCAGAAAATGTTTGAGATTTCAGCTTGAAACATATTTTTCTGACCCAGGAGGAGGACGGGAGCTTCCTGGGAGCTGCTCTGACGGCAGCAGACGCTGCGTACATCCTCTGCAGCGGACATCTGTCCTCTCCTGGAGAAGGTGAGACCTCAAACACGATGAGGTCTGAAGTCACGTCAGTGTTTCAGCAGCAGTTATTTAGTTCCTTCTCCCTTCAGGGAAACTCATTTTCTTCTCCGAGGGCCTCCTGTTTGTCCACTCTCAGTTTGGGAGCATCACCGTCTCCAAGAGCCACATCACAAACATCATCTTCTACGACCCGGTGGGACTTAAAACTGTTCAAACGTGCTCAATGTTTGGAGCCGTTGCTCCTCCTCATCAAAAGGAGTCAGCTGAGGTTCATCTACCTCCTTTTTGAGGTTTTCTGGGCTCATCCCACTGGGAGGAGACCCTGAGGCAGACCCAGAACTCTGGAGGGATTTTGTGTCTTCTCTGGTCTGGAGCTGGAGGTCTAGGTTTCTCTCCTGGACCTGTTGTCTTCATGACCGACTAAAGATAAACAGCAGAAGAAACAAATCCCACGAAATATTTCTTTCTCTCAGCAGTTAAGGTGTCACATGTTTACATACAGCTGGTCCCGGTCCGTCAGAAGTTTTCATCGAGTGTTTGAGCGCCGCTCTGCTCCATGTTTAATCCTGACAGTTGTCTCACTGGAGCGCTTCTTTTTCAATGAGGATATTTCCTCCTAAACGTGTTCTTCGAGGTTCTGCTCTCGTCTGGTTCCACCATATTTGTTACACAGACTAGTCATGCGACTCAAGCCTCGTGTTGTCATCAGATTGTTTACAATGTGTGCGTACCCACATTTCACTTTAACTACCGGAGTAAACTCTTTCAAACTGCCCGGTTTGACACTTCTGTTTGTAACATTATGACTCAAAGTGCAGCATTGTTGTTTGTTTACATTTCCTCATGTGACCTGTTGTCTTTAGGACTCGGTGGGCGTGGCCTCTCTGTTCGTAGAGTACGATGCCAGCCTGCTGCCACACCTCCCCTTCCCCCTGCACAGCCGGGACCAGAGTCTGGTCTTTGCCCTTCAGCCCAGGTCCAGGAGTCACAGGTCCTTCTACTCCAAGGTGAGACTCCAGCTCTTTATGGAAATGTTTTATTAAAAAAAAACATTTACTGCTCCTGAACTGACTTCCTGCTCCTGGACATAATGTGTCAGCCCTGTCCTTCAGTTCACGTGTTCATCTGTTTGTTAGAAACTGCTCGACATATTTTAATACAACTCTCAAATTAACCACGGATGTACAGCAACTACTGGTATAACCTTTGCAATCAACTTGTTTCAAAATGGCCACTGCAGCTTGTTGACCTATAACAAAAATAAAAATGGCTACAACAATCCTTTTTAGTGTTTAATGTACCAGACGCTGTACTCTTTTTAACAGATGTTGTTTTTCTTTCGGCTGCACCCTTCTTCACGAGTCGGCTCTCCTAAAGAAAGATTTGGTGACTGTTTTATTCCAGATTATATTTCTTTCCCAACCCAGGCTCGAAACCACAGCCTCAGGACTACGAGACAGTGACCACTGAGCTACTGTGCCACCCCCAGTCACTGTTATACCTCCAGAGTCATATGATGTCACGGCTCAAGTCCGTTAGATTTTCCTCGCCAGCTCAGCTTGTTATTCATGTTGTAAAGGAACTTGATGAAGCTTGGTAGGAAGTCTGACCACCCTGGAGAGGTTTTATTCCTGCTGTTACTTTGTGTTGCACCTTATCTTACCAGAGTTATGGCCCTTTGCTCTATTTCATTACAAGTTGTGTCCTCCATCACAGCAAACATGTTGTTTATGTTCCTGAAACAATAAAGTTCTGTTTATTTGAACCGTCTCTCCTCTCGTAGGTTTTATCTGTGTGGAAACGTTCTGAGTCTGGACTCAGAGTGCAGCTGTTGGACCGGGACCAGCTGTCCTCAGACCAACAGAACCTGTGAGGAACCGAGCCGGGACCTTCAGCTTTAAGTTGTCAGAAATCAAAAGTTTTTAAAGATTATTCATATTTTTTATTTCAGGCACAACAAACTGCAGCTGCTTCACGACGCTCAGGAGCCACCTGTGGCCAAACGCAGGAGCAGCCTGAAGACCTGGTACCAGCTGGTACCGGTACCGACCCAAACAATGTCAGGACACACAGAACCACACACTGACCCAGCATTTTCCCTTGGTTTCTGGCCTTGGGAGGGGCGTCTTCAGTTGTAAAAGCAGCCTAACAGTAGCTAGAAGCTAAAAGTAGCACAACAGTAGCTAAAAGCAGCCTAACAGTGGCTAGAAGCTAAAAGCAACAGAACAACAGCTAGGAGCTAAAGGCAGCAGAACAGTAGCTAGAAGCTAAAGCAGCAGAACAGTGGCTAAAATCTAAAAACAACTGAACAGTAGCTAGAAGCTAAAAGCAGCAGAGCAATGGCTAGAAGCTAAAAGCAACAGAACATTAGCTAGAAGCTAAAAGCTGAAAAGTAGCTAGAACCCAAAAGCAGCCGAATAGTAGTCAGAAACTAAAAGCAGCCAAACGGTAGCTAGAATGTAAAAGCAGCAGAACAGATTCTAAAGCCAAAATTAGCAAACCAGTAGATAAACGTAACAAAACAAGTGGTAAATGAAAATAAATAAAACATTTGGTAAAAAAGGCAAAACAAGGGCTAAAATTTGCAAAGCATCAGCTAAAATTCTCAAGAGTTAAAGTAGCAAATGGATAATAAAGCTAAACTTAGCAAAGCAGTAGCTGAAGGCTAAAAGTAACAAAACTAGCAAAACACAGTAGCAGAATGTTGGTTGAAAGCTTAAAGTAGCAGAACAGCAGCAAAACTCTAAAGGTAGCTTAAGATGACAAACAGGCAGCAGCTGAAGGAGAGTTATGAGAGAACACAAGAAGTTTTTAAAGGATCAGGAAAGATCTTCATGTATTTCTACTGTGAGTATTATTTTAAATAAAGTTAAATATGTTCAAAAACATAAAAGTTACAGAAACTAGAAGCCACAACAGCCGAATGAGCCGAACGTTTGTGTGTGAACGGCTAAAACAGCAGAAAAGTCTTCAGAAGACGTTTGTGGTCACAGTTTCCTGGTTTTTGTCAGGTTTCTGCAGCACTTCGCCCTCAGCAGCATCAGTCAGGAGCCCATTCTGGACCAGCACCTGGAGGTTCTGTTCCCATCAGCCGAGCTCAGGACCCCGGCTCCTCATCAGGGGGACGAGGTCAGAACCTTCACAGATCAGTCAGGCCTCGTCGTTCTGGCTGTAAACCCGAGTCCTGGTTCCTGTTTTCAGGTTGTCATCAGCATCATAACTGGACTCCCAGGAAGCCACAAGAACAAACTCTGCAGCCGTTTACTTCGCCTGAGCCTGGAGTCCGGAGGGTAAGTTGAACCGTTTATTTACAACCAGAACAAACGCAGAACCAACGTGTCGATGATTCACACGCAGGTGTGCAGCGTATCGGCCCGACAGCTTCTCAGCCACGCACCTCCAGCAGTACTTGACCAACTTCCTCCGGAGCAGGAGAGAGAGGAGCAAACGACGCCTGTTGCTACTCACGCCTGGGTAAAAACACTCAGCCGGCAAAACACTGAAACCAGGAGAGAAAGTCTGGAACAAAAATAATAAAAGTTATTTTAGAGGTTCCTAAAAGTTGAAATCAAAAAGAGCAGTATTCATATACAAACACATCCCTTGCAGTACTACTACTTAATTTTTTAAGTACTTTAAAAACAACACTGCTGCAACTAAGTTCCCTTTGGGATGAATAAAGTATTTTTGAATTTGAATTCTGTACATGTTAAATCAAATAACATTAAAGCATTAAAGAAGCAAATAAAAACAGTCGAACCAGTTCTGACAATAGATCAGGAGAACAAGAATACAGGAGTAGAATAAGCTAAAGCACGTCAGGCTGAGCCAAGAGCCAAGACATAAAAAGAGGTACGCCAATGACCCCATCTCTTTGAGCAGTGAATGTTTGTAGTTTTGGAGATGAGTGTTTTTCTGGACTGGAACTAAATGGTGAATGAAGTAAACCTAAATGTTTTTGGTGCCAAATATTCAAGTGGAGGAGTTACACTGTGGAGAAAAACAGAGGGAGGTTTTTTTTTTTTTTCTTGTTCGAGGCAACGCAGTGATGGATCCTGGAGAGAGGAGGGAGCAATTTCATCCTTCAATTTTGGCCTTGTCCCCATAGATTAATCTGTCAGCCACCCCAATCATTTGAGGAAACAATACTTTTAAAGAAAATAAAAACTATAAAACAAATATATACATGTATACACACACACTAT